TTGCTTAGCAACGGCGAGTAAACAGTTTTGCTATGTAAGGTCTACAACAATATGTGACGTGTCGTAGCCAATCGCAAGCTGGAAATCAGTCGCTATCTAGCAACGGCTGACTAAACAGCCGGTGCTAGGCAAAGCCTGCAACAATATGGATATTTCGCACATATAACATATTATCGAAAATCCTTCCTCTTGCACTACACACAAATTCTCTGTCAGTAGAAGCTTTACAGAGCAGATGTCAGTTAGGCATGATTTTCCCTGTAAAGCCTGTACTGACAGAGGACTTGTGTGTAATGAAAAAAGGAAGGATTTTTGATAACACGTTACGTGTGCGAAATATACATTTGACGAAAGGTCAGGTGTATTGATAAGAGACAAACTTATTTCTCGTCAGAGAAGACTCTTACCGCAAGGGTTCAGTTGGAAAAAAAGAAATCTATGATCGTGGGCCTCAAGGGGCTTGACGCCAAGACGAACTGACTAGCGGTAAACCGCCAGTCGGTCTGTTGACAGAAGCCAGTGGTTAGCCAGCACGGAGAGATGGTCAGTTCTATAGTCTAGTTAGAGTTGTTAACACGAAAGGCGCGACTGTGAAACGACTGAATAGTTACGCTGAACTGTAGTTACGGCGTTGAGTAATAAAGTGACGTCGCAAGAATACGCCTTGAGGTCTTATTTCACGACACATACAATCCCATCCTATCTCTCTTTAAGATCCATTTTTAACATTCCACGTACCAAAGCTCATATCCATTTTATTTCGCTTAAGTCGTTTATCCAAGGAATCCGTCCAGGTTGGAGGCTGTTTGTGAACTTTGGTAACAAGCTTATTTTTGACGGTGAGTTTTAGACCCGCGCTCAACTCCAAAGCTGGAGGATAACCCCTTGTCGGCAGTCAGCGACTGCTTATTCAATATATTCGCAACTACCCTCCATACCTGGGGGGGGGGGTCTTCTGCATCCGCAATATGAGGACGCGGTGACAAGGGACTCACCTAACAGTGGTATAGATAAATATATTTCTCTGTATCCTCCTTTATTTTTCGAAAAAATAAAAGTAGGCATATGAGATCACCATGCTGCTGTGTGTCTGTGTGTCTGTACGCGTATCACCCCACCCAAGAACTTTTCAATGCCGGTACCAATCTTTATGAAAACTGGAATGTATATCATGGCAAGCTGAGCCCATCTCAAATGTGCACTTTTAAATTCCTCATGTCAGTAATACTAACATTACAGCCTCTCAAATTCCCGAGAAAGAAACTTAATATTGCTTGAACGGCTGAACCAATTTTCATGAAATTTGGTATGTCTATCATGCTACATAAATTCATCCCAATGGCATATTTAATAAATCACTCTCATCGGTGGTACCAACATTACAGCCTCTCAAACTGTCGAAACAAATTATCAACTTCTATTGAAAGGAAAGTATGTGATAAGTTTTATCCAGAATTTCTCGTTTATGTTCTGATTTCGTTACGAAAATCTAGTGTGGTCAGCTGTCTGGATTCTCCTCGTACCACGGCATATGATAAAATGAACTCAGATTTTAAATCAATTAGATGAATTTCATACTTCATAAGGTCGAAATACAGTTATAATTGACAGACACATCCGTTTTAAAAATCCATAGACTGAGAGAGACCATTAAATGGTTCGTTAAGAGAGAGCCGGACTTCAAGAGACGCGTTACAATCCTGATATCCAATTTAGTTTGTCATTTTGCATAGAGACAACTCTCCCGAGAAGCACGATTGTAAAAGGGTTAGCACGAGGTGGCCACTACAATTACCGACCCATTGTTTCACCCGTTCTTGCTGTAACGATGTACTCCAGCTATAATTACATGTTGTATGTGTATTGGGAATTGTCAAGATTCACTGCTCTGAACTTTGCTTTCACGTACAGGGGTGTATATAGAACAGGATTACGCGTCTATCACCCCTACCCCACCAAAAAAATATGCCTAAGTCAACATAAAATAAATTCATTTCACAAAATGTTGTTCAATTTGGATCAAGGTATAGGGGCCCGTCAACTTTTATACATTGTTCTGCGTACTCACTATACAGCAATAACAAATTGGCTCCACGCAGCTGAGTCATTTTTGAGAAACTTCAGGTATTCAAGAACTTCCTAACATTTTGTGGAAACCGAAGGTTCATTGATGTGTTCAGAGGAGTCCGTTAATGATCCCTATTATAAGCGAGATGAATCCAGTTCATGCCGCCCCTTCCTATCTCTCTAAGAACCCCATTTTAATATTATCACGTGTAGGGTAATAAGCGTGATGAAAATTACGGGTTCTAGTTCGGATGATTGGACTTACTATAACTTTGATTACAAGTTCTCTTAATCACAGTTAAATACAGCGCTATCGCTGATTTACTTCCTTTCCAATCACCGTTGCACAAGCACTAGGATTTTCTCCTGGCAACAGATCTCAACGCAGAAACTAGCACTTCATACTACTATGAAGTTTTCCTACCATTTCTCCCTCAATCACCATGAAACCTCGGAACTCAACTAAAAAGTCTCCTGGACTCTTTACTATGCACTGCACACAGCACTCAGCACTAGTCTTTAGGTATAGTCCAAGTCGAAGTGGAAGTCGAAGTCACATTGCGACTGACGGTCGGTCGGTCAGTCAGTCAGTCAGTCAGTCAGTCAGTAAGTCTTGGTGTCGAGCCCCAATGACCAGATATTTATTACTGTTTGACATTTACGATCTTGCTTTTGTGGAGCGCCCTCTCTGACGAGAGGACGGGTATGTCTTCGATATATATGCTGCTGGTCCTTGCCAGCGCAGTCTTTCTCGGGTCCGAGTCCATTGAGACTCGCGACCATATTTTACTGTCTCAGATTTGAGACTTCCCTTTTCGTCGCCTCCTACGACTCGCAGAGTCACGGTGGAGGTATTGACCCTGCGAGTCGTATATAGTCCAAGCTATAACACATACTCGTTATATAAGCTTCACACGACAAAATAGAAAACACCTTTCATTCTTGACTCCTGTTGTTGTAACGCTCTCAATTGAAGGTTGTTTACAGGGCATTGCATAGAAACGGCGATTCTTCTATTGTTGCCTTGTGTGTATTCTGTCGCGGGGTGTTTAACTGTCCGTTACCTAGCAACGTTCTGGTCATCAAAGTTTCAGTATTATCTTCCCACCTATGGCCAGGCCTTCCTAGTGATTTCTTTCTTTTTGGCTTTCCCACCAAATCCTATATCCATCCCGCCTCCAATGCGTGCTACATGTATTGGCCATTCCAACCCCATTGACTTGATCATTATAAATACATCTGTAGAAGATTACAAGTTATGAAGCTCCTCATTACGTTGTTCTTCGAACCTCCTCTCACTCCATCCCTCTTCGGTCCAAATATTCCCCCTAGCACCCCGTTCTGAAACACCCGCAGTCTACGTTCCTTCCCTAATGTCAGAAATCAAGTTTCACACCCATACAAAACAAAAGGCAAAATTACAGTCTTATGTATTCTAATTTTTACGTTCTCAGACAGCAGACAGAAGACCACAGTTCTGGACTGAATGGTAGCAAGCATTGCCCGAGTTCAGTCTCCTCTTAGTTTCCTCCTGAATCAAATTTCGATTTTTTTTACTTATCGTTCTCAAATTTCTGAACTGTACGAAATTTTCAAAGAATCTAAAATTGTGCCTGTGCTTAACTAATTAAACACTCTACCATGAAGATGTATGGGGGAGTGGATGTATATATCTGCGTATTCTTGACCTCGGCAGTAGTTAGAGTTTAGCTGGCAGCTTCACTCCCCAAAGAAACTATTAGCTATATTTATGTTATGATTTTGCCTTGCAATCTGGTGATGAGACATCAACAAATACTTATGTAAGATTTGAGGTTTTCACGGCGGTCACTATGAAGAATGCCGTCTTCTGGGTTGTGGCGCCGTGCAGATATTGTGTTAACCGACGTTTCGGAGGAACGTATCGCCTCTATCTTCAGGGTAGAAGACAAAAGAAAATCCGTTTTTTTCTTCTACCCTGAAGATGGAGGCGATACGTTCCTCGAAACGTCGGCTAACACAATATCTACACGGCGCCACATCCCAGCAGACGGCTTTCTTCAACAAATACTTAGTTTTCTATACTTTACTTCTATATCAACGTCCTTGCTTGCGTCAAATACAACTTCTGTGTTTTCTCTATGGTATCTACGTTATCTCGAAATAGCTTTACATCATGATCACAACCCATACAGTATGTAAAAGTTTAATGCCTGCAGTTCTGTCGTTGTGCTGAAATTCTTGACGAAATATGGATTTAAATGGAGCTGTTTCCAAGCAGTCACATAACTGATCAGCAGTTCACTAAAATTAACCAAAAGCGCTTGTGAAAAATGAAGTATAATGGAAGTCAGTAAATAGGTCACAGATGGATATAAAAAGTAAAACATGTGATATTCGAACCTGACAAAAAAAATTATTTCTCGACATATCCGCCAGCAACACTGATACACTTATCCCATCGCTTTATCAGTGCGTCGAAACCCGCAGCATAAAAGTCTTTTGACTGTTGTCTTAGCCACTTTCGCACCTCCATTTCATCATCTGCGAGTTTCGAAAGTCTTCGAGAGAACTTCTCGACTCAGATGTGAACCTTTTTAGGCGACGAACACTTCCCACAGTAAACAGCAAATGTTTTTCTAAGAATATACTTTGCATTATGTCCTTCTGCCCACAAAAGACACAACAAAATGCTGCTCTTCCATAAGACATACCTCAAGCATGGTCGCCATTTTGACTACTGAAGCCAGCCTCTGAAAATGCGCATGCGCGTCTGCTACGTAGACTATCATGAAGCTGGACTGTGCTGCTACCTAGTGATACACACAGGAAACCAATTACGTCCATTACAGCTGTTCCACTTCCATTTGTGGCCTGTTTACTGACTCCCCTCGTATGCGTTCAGACAAGGGAAGTCTGAGATTGTGTTTTCTCATTGACTTTTTGATACTCACCGGTACACTTGTCCCAGGTTGTAGTGCGCATTCACGTGGTTAGGAGAGTACCGGATGGCGGCTAGGAAGTGGCTCTCCGCCTCGTCAGTTCCACTCATCAGAGTTCCCAGGTTGTTGTGGGCACTTGCGTAAGTGGGCCACAGTCTGCAGACCAACAAAAGGGAACGGAATTAGGTAAACTCCACGAAGAACCCTCTTTAAGGAGTTAATATTCGCCCAACTTGTCAAAAAACTACCTGACTACACGGTACTACGGCCCAGAATGCATTAGCCTTCATAGTTACTATAATGAGAACCTCAAATCTTTAAAGAAATGGGCCATCTTTTATGGAAACCGGAAATTGGTTATCTCGGGATTGCAGAGTTTTTAGACCTTGTCAATCGCCTAATATTCTGAAGAGAATAAACGCTTTGGAGAATGCATCTGTTTCCGTTCTCAGGTCAAATGGATGGAGACACCTAATGTGTGGGGTCCGTTGGAAAGAGTTAACCTCAATTATCACATCGTCCAGTGACAGGTTAGTTCTTTCTAACGGACCCAACGGAGTGGGTGTCTCCCACGAGAAGACTGAACCAGAGCTAGTTACCGGAACGTTGTGTTCTTTAAAACAGGGCTACCACACGATGGAAAAGTTAAAAAATCTCCGTAATCCAGAATGTTATACATTAGAGAGGTCGGACAAACCGAGTCCCTGCAGGTGATTCACGTGTTCACTCGGCAGACTTCAGCTCAATTCAGTCTTCCTTCTCCAGATAGTTTTCGGTATGTACACAGGTGTCCGGATGAAAGGTATCCAAAATAAAAAAAAATGTATACCTCGGAAACTAATTGGCATACACGTATCCGGTTCATGTCATCGGAAAGAAAATTCTTAAAGTTTTTTTTTTTAATGCCGGGCTTACGCGCAAGCGCCGCAAAATTTTTGCCACCATGTTAAGAATCACCTGGACGGAGAGATGGCTAGGAAATGGATCGGCAGAGATGAACCAATTGCTTGGCCTCCTAAGTCGCCAGATTTAACCCCGCTGAATTTTTTCTTGTGGGGTTGTGTGAAGAACACTGTCTACCAGGTTAAGTTCAAAGGGCTTCAACACCAGAAAGCCCGCATAAGGGACGCTGTGGCTACGGTAACACCAAACATGCTTCAAGCATGGATATTTGTCGTGCCACCAAGGGAGCCCACATTTAAATTTGAGAAAGTTAACGGAGAAAAAACTTCGATAGTTCCCTTTTGTAATTGTGTAACACATTAATGTGTATAATAAATTCTATCTGAGATATAATGATTTTATTTTGGATAACTTTCATCCGGACATTCTACTATATTATCACAATAGGCAAAGTACATTTGAACTTGCTCGGAATATCGGAATATGAAGATATATCAGGCAGAGCAGTGACTCTTTCTCAAGGCGTGTTTACATTAGCGTACAAGTTCAGGAGTCGAGGTTACATTTTCACTTAATGATTCGCTGATTGTAGGATTTATCTCACTGACACTGAGAATAGGGTTTAAGACTAAAACTGTCTTAAATGATGAAGCAAAGATATGTCTTTTCACTTCGGTGTACTGGAAACAAATTTTCGTGCTCTACACCAGCCGTCGATCATTATTTTAAACTTTCAATTATTTCTAATAGGTTGAAATCTATGCATGGGTGTGCCTCAAACAAATTTCACTAGTCAGTCAGACATATATGATAAACAATTTCCGATGTCAGAAAGTGATTCTTTGACATGAATAATTTTGCAGGCAGGAAATAAGGCTCACTTTAGGGCCGCTTGTTACATATTTCCAGAATTTAATGTGCTAGAAACACACTTATCCTTTTAAACGATTGTTTCGAAGTCACATCCGGTCAAGCTAAATATACGTGTCGCTTCTCAAGATAAATATTTCAGCAACAAAGCTTCCTCTGGGTTCCTTCCAAGTGTTATACATTTATGTCAAATGCTAAACAAAGGACCGGTGAACACTTGCTGGAAGTTCTTCCCTTCAAAGGGTGCAAGCTATATCCTGTTCATATAACTACATGAAATACTTCGCTTAAGTCTATTCAAAGAACACCGCCTACAAGACGCGGCAGATGATAGAAAATTTTACACTGTAAGGTCAAGAGAACTTTTAAAATTATACAATTTTTATAATGTTTGTAATAATTACATGTATGATGATTATAATAATTAATACTAATATGGACCGAAACATATAGCAGTTACTAAATAAAACAAATGTAAACAATTATATTGGTTTTATTATTACTTTTTTGTGCTGACGGCCAGAGTGCCATAAATCTATCCAAAAACCTTCCTGTAACAGAAAATCGCCGTCAATAATTAAAGATTAATAATATATTTGTATACAAAATACATCTATCTTAATACAACAGAATTAATATTTTAATTGCTATAACCCCCACCGATTTTCTTTAGAATATGCCATTAGGAAGGTCCAGGGAAACCAGGTGGGACGGAAATTAAACGGGACAAATCAGCTGTTGGCCTATGCCGAAGATGCGAATCTACTGGGTGATAATGTAGATACCATAAAGAAGAACACACACACTTTAACTGACGCAAGTAAAGAGGTTGGTCTAGAAGTAAACACTGAGAAAACTAAGTATATGTTGCTGTCTCGTCACCAAAATGCAGGGCCAAATCATGATATAAAAATAGGAAACAGATGTTTTGAAACTGTGGCACAATTCAGATATTCGGGAAAAACGATAACAGATCGAAACCTGATTCAGGAGGAAATTAAGAGATTGAACTGTGGTAATATTTGCTACCATTCAGTCCAGGACCTTTCATCTTCTCGTCTGCTGTCCAAAAACATAAAAATTAGAATATACAAAACTATAATTTTGCCCGTGGTTCTGTATGGGTGTGAAACTTGGTCTCTGACAGTAAGGGAGGAACATAGACTGAGGATGTTTGAGAACAGGGTGTTGAGAATATTTGGACCGAAGAGAGATAAAGTGACAGGAGGTTGGAGAAAACTGCATAATGAGGAGCTTCATAACTTGTACTCTTCTCCAAGTACTAATAATTAGAATTATTAAGTCAAGGAGAATGAGGTAGGCAGGGCATGTAGCACGAATGGGGGAGACGAGGAATGCGTACAGGATATTGGTGGGAAAGCCAGAAGGAAAGAGCCCACTGGGAAGACCAAGGCGTAGGTGGATCAACAATATTAAAATGGATCCTAGAGAGATAGGATGGGATGGTATTGATTAGATTGATCTGGCTCAGGATATGGACCAGTGGAGGGCTCTTGTGAACATGGTAATGAACCTTCGGGTTCCATAAAATGCTGGGAAATTCTTGAGTAGCCGCAGAATTGGCGGCTCCTCCAGAAGGGCTCAGCTCCATGTGTAAGTAAGTATAACCCCCACCGATAGTGTCTCCACCTTATCGCGGTGGTGGGGTTTGAGTGTTCCTGAGATCCTGAGAGCTATGCCGGCGGTAGCGTAGCTACTGGTAGGGTCACCCATGCCAGACAGGTAAAGGGGTAGGAGCCAGACGAAGAGGGACACCCTGGTCCTCCAGGTTGGGGGTTGGGCGTGAGGTTAACAACTCACACTGTAAAACCTAAATTATTCACAAACCAGATAATCAGCCTCGGAGATGAAGAATAGAGAAGAACGGAGGCAAACTGCTCAGGAGGCCAAAGCTCACCCTGAGCTGTAGCGCCAAGGGGAAGGAATTGCTGGAACACCATCGCCTGAAGCATTTGGAATTTGATTATCTTGTTCACAAGCGAGCCGGGGCATACACACACTTCATATGAAGAAGAGCTGACATTTGCAGCTGGGCTGGTTTTCGTCTAACGTGTATATCCACCTGATAATTGCCACTTAGTGACCGAAACGTGTTATGAGATTGAATACACATGTAGAATAAAGCTTGTGTGTGAAGGTGTAAAGTGATAAAATTAACTCCATAAAAGCAGGAATTAACATTCCAAAATACTGTAGAAATATCTGCCTTAAGAATCTGGGTTCGATTCTCAAATTACAATTACGTAGTTCAAAATCAGTGAACTGTTTAATTACTTTCTGGGACACTCATTAATGAAGTGGTAAAACCCACACACTCAGAAAATATACTCAACTTTTTTTTTTGCTAAATTTATATTCTTCTTCGCATTTATAAGCTCTTATCTCTATTGTACCATCTCGCCTCTTTCATTTCTACTTCTTTCTTTCTCATTCATTCTTTCAACGTTCCTTGTTTTCCTTTGCTATGACGGATGACATGAAGACCCATTCAGTCCGTAACATATTTCCACTCGCTTTTATACAGCAGTGGCGTATACCGTCTCCTCTGGGTCTCTTGTAATATGTAAGTTGCTTTCAGGTGTACAGATCTAAAAATAAAACTGTCAGGGAAGACCGGTACGCAGTTCCAGAGTGAAAAAAGATGGTATAAACCATGATAAGTAACCGTTCTCAGCAGCTAACGGCTGAATTTCTAATGCAGCACTGAATAATATTATTNAGGCCCTCAATACCTGATATTTCCCCCATCTACCAGACGCATTGGAAACAACTTGGGCGGAAAATGTGTTGCCTAATTTTGCTCAGAGGTCTCCTAGAGACAGGATCTTTTACCCACGGCTTAAAGTCCCTCCCGGAGGACTTGTTCCCTGAATTTTTCCGCCCTTAAAAATTCCACGATCCCCGCTGGGTTTGAGCCCGCGTACTTTGAGTCATGAGGTGGGAACGTTACTCCTAGACTACGGAGGCCGCTACTGAACGACATACAGTTATTGTGACGCGAATACTGGAAGGGGATGACGCGACAATCTCACAGATCGGAAATTAAACAATATAAAACAGTTTAATGTAGAAATAACTTAATTTGAAAGAAGTGTCAGTGTGAAATTGATTCAGCTGGCTCAGGATCATGAGCGCAGACAAGGTTACAAGACAAGGCTTCTGCTTTCGTGTGTTTTGTAAAAAAATATTAATTACAAAAAATACAATTATTAAAAATATAGAGCCGGGATAGCGCAGTCGGTATAGCGACTGACTACGGGCTTGACGAGCGAGGGGTCAAGAAAACGTGGGTCTATACATCCGCTCCCCCATACGTCTTCATGGCTCAGCGCTTAACTAGTTCATCATAATGAAACCTTTAC